GGGCGACCGCCGCTCTCCGTCCCCCTGGTGCTTTCGGCTTACGGCCAGAGGCGTTTCCGAAGGTCCAAATGGGCAAGAGGACCGAGAAGATCTCTCGATGTGTCTTTGAAAACTTCTCCCCTAAATATCCCAATCTGTGTTGGCTCCTCTAGGAAAGGGTCACAAAACCAGTCCCTTTAGGCTGTCTTTTGTTGTTGTTTTTTTGTTTTTTCCTACCTGTCCTCGACGTGCTTTAGCAAGTCACCACGTGCATGTTGAGGGCTCCTCTCACCCTTCCCCTGCTCCTCAAATAGACACAGAAAGGCACGGTCGCCCCCGGGCCGTCGGCCACCCCCCAGCTTGGATCTCTTGGCGGGAGGTAGGGAGGCTCCTGGTGTCCCCCCTTCTGTGGTTGCGTGTCTCTAGCTCGCAGAAATAACCCTGTACTTTCCCCCCTGTCCTTCAGCCCAGCTGGAAAGCAAGAGCCCAGCTCTGCACCATGCTCCGGCGTTGTACTTTCATGGGCAAAAATAGTCTCTGCCCTGTGCGTAGGCCCTTGCTCAGGGTGAGGCTGAAGTAGGGAATTTTAAAGAAAGGCTGTTCACGACAGTCACTGGCGTCCCCGAGGGCCCAAACCGTCCTTCCTTGGTGGGGTGCTGTAAACGAACTCTGGGTCCGTTGCAATCCTGCTGCGTCCGACACCAGCAAACAAACCCATCGTGGGAAGTTTCCAGCTCTAACCCGCAGGGGCAGGATGGCCCCCCTGCTGGGGAAGCGGTCCCGGGCCTCTTTGTTCAGCCTGATGCTGAACATCTCTCCTGAAGTTTGGTGTCTTGCATCAAATAGCCACACGTTAAAAAAGCCTGCGTGCTGATCATACCTCACGCTAAGAAGCAGATCTTTCTTGCCATCAACAGCTCTCTTATCCCCCCCCTGAAAAATCAACCCTAGCCCTGTGCTAAGCTTGGCTACGGCTTATTTTGTACTTGCCTTCAGTTGCTGCCCCCTCCCGGCGTTGCCACGGCTGTCACATCCCCGCTGACAACACCAGAGGGGCTTGCTGCACCGCTGGCGCTCAGGGAGGCCACGAGAGCTGCCTTGGCCTCCTGCGGACCCTGGACTGGCTGCAGACCCTCGACTTGGCTCTGCCTTGGTGAAAGGCTGGTTAAAATCCAGGGCAGGAGCTGGGAGAGCACCACGGTGGGCTGTCGCGCAAGGTGTCCTCCTGGGCTCTGCAGCTTCCCACATCCACGTTCTGGTGGTCGCAGACGTGTCTGATCTGGACCAGAGACACCACGGGACAAAGTGTTGGGAAGGGTCCTGGTGCAGGCTGCTTTCCTTGGCTTCCCCCAGCTCTTAGTCGCCTTTTCCCTGCGCGACAGCCGGTTACCGGCTCTGTTTTGCCACCCTCCGGCACAGCTGGTGCGAGGAGAGGAGCAGCTAGGACCATGCCCGCACGCCAAGCCCAACCTCATGGTCTGCTCTTCACCTTCTCGGTCCCTCTCTGTTTTAGACACCTCACTTTTATCTCTTTAACCTATATTACAAGGGGTGGGGAGGGAGGAGGAGAGGAGAAGACCCAGGAACTGCCCTGCACACCCACCTCTGCCCTTACAGCCGCACAGCCCCGGCGTGCTCTAACTGCGTTAACTCCCTTTCAGGCCAGAGGACAGGCGCTTTCCTCGGTCTGAGATGTGACAATAACAATGACGTGGCCATCGCACACGTGAAAGCGCTGGACAATAAACTGTGCTCTGAGGCCTGCTTACCTGGTGAGTGGCCAACTGCTGAACATGAACTCGGGGTTGCGGGGGGCAGTTTTTGCTCTTTTGTCCACCCCCCGCCCTCCTGATCCCCCCCCCCCCCCCGCTTCATCTCCCACCACCGTCCATCCTCATCACCGTCGCCACCACCGTGCCACCATCCATCCCACCGCGGGGCTGTCCACCAGGCGTGAAACCATTCAGCAGCAGTAGGTCAAGATGTCCTGTCCCAGCCGTGATGCCCGATGGGCTTGCTTTGCCTAGGGAGGAGTTGCAGTCTAGCTTTGGTGGAAAGTTTGGCCCCTTAGCCAGGTGTTTGCTGAGAGCGTGGTCTTTGGGCCAGGCGTACCTAGCTGTCCCTGGAGCAGGGGCCGCCGCAGTCCTGCAGCCGCGGGCAGGACAGGGCGTAGGGCACGGAGAGCATGGTTTCCCTTGGGAGGGACACGCTGGGAACCTGCGCTCGCTCCGTCGCACGCCCGGTTCCTTCGGCGTCAGCGAGGCCCCGGGGACGG